GATATTAGAGGAAAAACTTCTTGCTTTGGAAGAGAAATATGTGAAACTCAAGGAGATAGTAGACTATCAAGAGAAGAGGATCTACTTCCTAGAAAAACAGGCGAGACAAAGAAACATAGTTATTTTCGGTATCGAAGAACTGGAAGCTTCATGCGAAACCTTACAAAAACATATGCTCAATTGGTTAGACTTACACTTTTCAATCAAATTAACAGATGCCGATCTACAAGTAGTTAGAAGGCTAGGAATAAAGGGCAATAAACCACGACCCACTCTGATATCGTTCTCAAATCTCAGCACTAAGATAAATATATTGAAACAGAAAAAAGCACTACGCGACACGTGCTACTATATGAAGGAAGATTACCCAAAACAGATCCTAGAAAAAAGAAGACAATTACAAGAACAGCTGAAAATAGAAAGAGAAAATGGCAAAATTGCTTTCCTAAAATATGACAAACTAGTCATACATGAACAAACATCCAAGAGAAAGTTTTCTGCATCGCCATCAAAATTCACAGAAGAAATGTCAAAAGGAAGAATTACTCAGACAAACAAAAAAAAAAGTCACAAAGCATTAGCGAAGGAGTAAACAAACCGAGCATGCTAAATTTCCTTACAAAAATTACAGCACAGGGACAAGAAACTACAAAAAGTAATGCGTAGCAAACAGCTGCTCCTCTTCATATAAGCCCAACAAACAACTATTCAACGAAACATAACATAACAAATCCTCCAACCCGGTTGGTCACCGTGGAGGATTATGACCACAACCCTCCAAAGAAAACTATAACACCAAGCAACAATTAAAATTGCTTATTTAAAATACTTACATTCAATGTCAAGACTCTATCAACATACGAGCGACAATTAGAATTAGAAAATTGTTTAAGCGCTATGAACTATGATATAATGGGAATTTCAGAGGTAAGACGTCAAGGTTGTGAAATTAAGGAATATGATAACTTTATTCTTTGCTATATAGGACAGACAGCAGGTCAATACGTAGTAGGTTTCATAATAAACAAGGAGATAAAAAATAACATAGAAAGCTTTATTGGTATATCGGAGCGTTTAGCCATACTCAATATAGACATAGGACGTCATACGATATTCATTCTTCAAGTCTACTTTCCCACGTCAGATGCAAAAGAAACGGATATCGACGAATTATATGAGTCAATTGAGGAAGCATTAAAAACGGCGCACAAACACGTCATACTTATGGGTGACTTCAACGCGAAGGTGGGCACATCAAAGAAATACCAGGAATTGGTCGTGAAAGAACATGGCTTTGGCACAAGGAATAACAGAGGACAGAAACTTGTTGACTTTGCACTCATACACAAGCTAACAATAGTAAATACCTGCTTTAAGAAAAAACCAAATCGGAAATAGACCTGGAAGTTGCCGAATGGACATAAAAACGAGATTGATTACATTCTCACAAACCAAATTCGATCATTTACAAACTTCGACGTCTTAAACCTGAACTACTCATCTGACCATCGCGCCATCAGAGGTACAGTAAAAATATCTAAACATAAACCAAGCAGAGCGCGTTTTACCAATAAACCAGTTTGTCAATTCAATAGTGCAAAGGAAATAGAAATTTATAAAAACCATCTCAAATCTACATTACCTGTGCTAGCAAATCAACAAGCAAGGGATATGATATAAAACAGATACCATTAGTAACGCTATTTTAGAAAGCCAACAACTTGCACATACCAAGACAAGTAAGCAAAAACACAAAATATTACAAGAGAAAAACAGTAAAACTGCTGCAAAGAAGAAAAACACTACAATCAACCAAGAACAAAACGCGTGCTATGAAAAACGAACTCTTTGCTTTGTACAAAATAATTAATAAATATATAAAAAGTGACTACTCAAAATACAGGCAAGACACTATAATGAGCCAACTACAGCTTTCTGGTAGCACGAAGAAACCATTTAAAACACTTCGTACTAATATTCGCTGGATAAAAGTATTAAAAAACCTGGACAAATCTATACACAAACGAAAAGACATTGTAACTACGGCTACAGACTTTTATACTAATCTGTACAGTGACAATACTAACACGATTACGACATCATATTATAACAATAAAGAATGCCAACTTAATGACTTCATAGAGATCAACGAATCCGAAGTGGTTGAAACTATAAAGAAACTAAAAAAAGAAAAATGTCCAGGTCCCGACAACATCCCAAATGAAGCTCTAATAAATGCTCAGTTAATTTTGGCTACACCGTTAGCAAAACTGTTTAACCTAATACTCCAGCACACTATAACGCCCTTTCAGTGGTCCGAAGCAAATATAATACTAATATATAAAAAAGGAGATCCCAAAAATATTGGCAACTATAGACCTATTAGCCTACTATCTAGCCTGTACAAACTATTCTCTACAATTATAAACAAAAGAATAAGTACAACACTAGAAAGGAAACAACCCGTGGAACAAGCAGGTTTCAGGAAAGGATTCTCTACAATTGACCACATTCATACAATAGAGCTAATTATAGAAAAATATCGGGAGCAACAGAGAACATTATACACACAAAAGCATACGAGAAAGCTTGCAAGAGCAAGGAGTTGAAGAAATATACATAAAGACCATACAAAGTATATACAATAACATCAAAGGAAGAATCAAACTAGAGTCTATCGGTCCAAGTTTTCCCATAAAAAGAGGCGTAAGGCAGGGCGATCCTCTCTCTCCAATAATATTTATTTCAATCCTAGAGAACATTATTGGAAAGCTGGATTGGCGTAAATTAGGCATCTAAGTCATCTTAGATTTGCGGACGATATTGTGCTTTTATCAGAATCGGCCGGTCAAATGCAATTCATGTTGGAGTCCTTGCATCAAGCCAGCGTCCAGGTTGGCCTGGAGATGAATTTAACCAAAACAAAAACATTAACAAACAACAGACGAAAATTTCCAATACTAATCAATAACAAGCCAATTAATTACGTCGATAATTACATATACTTGGGAAAACTATTAAGTTTTGACATAAATAACGACAAATATGAAGTAGAAAGAAGGATACAAAAAACTAAAAAAAAAAAATTGGGATTTAAAAAAAATATTCAAAAGCAATATGCCGATAGATATCAAAACGAAAGTGTTGAACTCTAGCCTGCTACCATGCTTTACTTACGGCTGCCAGACGTGGAAATTTTCATCCAAAACCATAAATAAAATTAAAACCTGTCAAAGGGAACTAGAGAGGAGCATGTTACATATCAGAAAGTTAGATAAAATTAGAAATACCAAGATAAGAAAAATCACAAAAGCAACCGACGCTGTAACTTATGCATTAAAACAAAAATGGAATGGGCCGGACACGTTGTGCGATGCACAGATAAAAGATGGTCAAAGAGAGTAACATCGTGGAATGGTCCAGCGGGTAAGCAAAATCGTGGAAGACCACTAACCAGATGGGAAGACGACCTGAGACGAGCAGCTGGCACGATCTGGAGAGATATTGCACAAGATAGAGAAGCATGAGTATCTTTGGAGGAGGTCTATACCCAACCCGGGGTTCTTGCCGACTAAATCTATACATCGTATACTGAGTTTACATTACATATTACAATAATGTTCTGTAAATATACGCGCATGTTAAGTTAGTATAATCATGTTTAAAATCTGTAAAAAGGCAAGAAATAAAAGGCTTATTTAATTTAATTTAAATAATACGTGTTAAATAGAATGTCCGGCGGTAGGTGCCGTCCGGCGTTACTGGACTTCCCCCTATATATAGATATATATATATATATATATATATATATATATATATACATATATATATATATATTATATATATATATATATATATTTGTATGATTCTGAATTTGATGTTGACATATGTATTAACAAAGTCTAATAATCGGGCATAACATCAATAAAAAACATGAATTTTTTTCAAAAATTTATTTTAAATCCATACGTTTCGGCTATAATCCTAGCCTTCATTCAGTGGAAAAATTAGTTGATCTTATTGTTAAATTGGCAAATTTTAATAATCCATGGTATTAGGATATGGTAATGCACTACACTATGTATTATAAACATTAACTTGAAATTACACAATATTTTCACAAAATACTGATTTGAAAAAATCACAAATAGATAGTGTGTTATTCGTAGACTGGTTGAAGATGTAACATACATCTTCAACCAGTCTACGAATAACACACTATCTATTTGTGATTTTTTCAAATCAGTATTTTGTGAAAATATTGTGTAATTTCAAGTTAATGTTTATAATACATAGTGTAGTGCATTACCACGTATGTATGTTTACGAAGATGTATGTTACATCTTCAACCAGTCTACGAATAACACACTATCTATTTGTGATTTTTTCAAATCAGTATTTTGTGAAAATATTGTGTAATTTCAAGTTAATGTTTATAATACATAGTGTAGTGCATTACCATATCCTAATACCATGGATTATTAAAATTTTCCAATTTAACAATAAGATCAACTAATTTTTCCACTGAATGAAGGCTAGGATTATAGCCGAAACGTATGGATTTAAAATAAATTTTGAAAAAAAAAAATATATATATATATATATATATATATATATATATATATTCTTGAAATGTACATTTGCAGCCAATCGTCAAATGAAAAAACGATTAATGGTGCCATCATTCAGCAATGTTTTAAAATATTTATTAACATTTCACACCAGGAAAAACACTACACAAAAATTGAACCAACATTATTTGAAAAACAAAACATGAAATAAATAAAGTTATATAATTTTTTGTTTGTTTTAAAGTTAGAACAAAAATTTATGTAGTGTATATAAATATGGCACGTTTTCCCGTATGTACAAAAAAATCTAAATCTTATATATATATATATATATATATATATATATATATATATATATATATAGAATAAAGCCATTGAAGTGCTATAATTAAAGAATAGATTAGTAATAAATTTTCTTTGATATTGCAGGGAGCTACAAGACTTACAAAAGACGACATTGAAAGAGTGTTTTCACTTTATGATCGAGTAAGTATTTATTACAAATTTCAGAATTTAATATAAGATATGAATATGTGTTTATAAGACTTGATATTATTGAATCTGTATCTACTTGATTTCTATGTTTGACTCACAGTATTTGATTAAAATTATCATGTTTTGATATTATTTCATTCAGGGTTTACCTAAATAATTCAAAATGATTTGGATATTATATTTGTGAATTTATATTAATCATTTAAAACATTCCCAATGTAATTTAAATCACTTGAAAGCCAAAAACAAACCCAAATTTGTTACTTCATCAAGTTATTAGTAAACACTTGAAATAATTTTAAAAATGCCAAATTCGACGAGCCGGCGAAAGAACGCAAATTGCAAATAAGGGCTAACTAAGAATCACAACGGATGTAAATCATATAACGGTTGGATTTAACGCCAGTGTGGTCTTATGGGATTCAACTATGGGGCACCGCCAAAAAAACCAATCTACAGATTATTCAGCGAGTGCAGAACAAGATCATAAGGCAGGAACTGAATGCACCTAGGTAGGTTCCCAACTGGCTGATTCACCAGGACAGCAACATAATGACCGTAAATGAACAAATTCAACAAAAAACAAACAACTACAAGAAAAGAATAGACGAGCACCCAAATTACTTGGCCAACAAAGTATACTCAGAAGCGCGCCCAACAAGACTAAAACGAAAAATTCCAAACAATCTTATAAATTTGTAAATTATTATTATTATTATTATTATTATTATTATTATTATTATTGTTGTTATTATTATTATTATTACTATTATTATTGTTTTATTATTATTATTATTATTATTATTATTATTATTATTATTATTATTATTATTATTATTATTATTATTATTATTATTATTATTATTATTATTATTATTATTATCTTACGATTTCTATTATTATTATTTTGTTATATTTTATTATTTTTCTAGTATTATTTTATTATTCTGAAATTTTATTTATATTATTTATTAGTCTTATTTTTATTATTATTTGCTTATATTTTATATTAAATCATATTACGGATATTATTTTCATATAAATTTTATCCTTTGCTCTTTTATTTATTTAAATTTATATTATTATTTATCAATATTACTTGATGTTAATAAATTAGCAGTTGTAATAATTATTGAAATTAAAAAAAAAAAATTAACGCCAACCAAATTTCAATGGTTATTCATTATCCTTGACCTATCGGGCCGATCAAATCAATACGCCCATGCCTCGGGTCATCGCAAGTACATTTGGATCAGACCACTGGTCTTTCACCGGCCTACCAATCTAGACCGCTAAGATCTCGGGTTCATAAACAAATTAATAGCAACATCCACTTATTTAAAGAATGAGAAATCATATCGTGCTCTAGACCGGCACAAGGAGTTTGCCTCAAGTACTGGAAGGGGATATTGTGGGATGGGAGTCAGCCATGACGAGAGATACGGGAGAATCAATGTAGTCATGTCATTTTTATCTTTGTAAACAATCAGATTTTTCTATAAATTTTTATTATATATATATATATATATATATATATGAACGAAATTTCTTTCAAAACTTATCAAGAACTGTAGATTACAAACAAATATGTTTAATGAAAAAATATTCAAAACTTAACTCTAAATATTCGAATGTTATTAACAAAAAAATATTTCTAATTCGATGTAAAAATGAATGGATTATACCTAATTTTATTTCTAATATTATCAACAAACAATTTTTATACAACACTTTCAACATCTATAAAATTGAACGACAAATTAATTACCTGAAAATGTCCGTTTTGAATCTTGAAATAAAAAATACTTTCATCTACATAAATTACTTAAAATCACAACTGAATAACATAATCAATACACTTACCAATACTTTGAACAAAGACCTTTTAAATCAATTTCTAGCTTTTGAAAACTATAAATTTAACAAACATTTTAATACTACTAAAGAAAAACATATTAAAAAAACCAAAACTTTAATTCAAAAAAGAGATGACAACTATCCCTTCAAAATCTCTAAATCATGTACAGATAAGTGGTTAGTTAATAAAACTGATATTTACATTCCAGAAAATGTTAAATATATTCTAGCATTAGGTCCAAAATTTGCATACTCTCCTCAGAAATACAGTAAAACAGATTTCATAAAAATTCTAAGTAATATTGAATACAACATTAGAAACATTGAAACCAACAAACAGAATAACATTAGATCAAAACTATGTGACAGACTGGTAAAACATATAAAGAAAGTAAATAATAAATTTCAAAACTTTCATTTAAAGAAACTCCACAAAGATATTTTAGAAACTAAAGCTTTCATTAAATCTAATAATATTATAGTTTGCCCAGCCGATAAGGGTAATATCACAGTCATTCTTGACAAAGAATTTTACAACAATTCCGTCCTTAACCTACTTAAAGATGATACAACATATAATATTTTAACAGAAGATCCCACACAACGTTTTTCTAGAATAGCTTTTAAATTAATCAATGATCTGAAAAACAAAAAACTAATTTCTGAGAATTTTGCTTTTAACCTAAAAATACAACACCCTATCTCCCCTAAGATGTACTGTCTTCCAAAAATACACAAACCTGAATGCTCTTTCAGACCGATTGTCTCCTACATTGGCTCTCCTTTTTACAACATTTCGAAACTCATTTCTGATGTCCTAAAAAATGTTACAATCAATTCTCCCTATTATGTCAAGAATTCGTACCAATTTGTGAATTTAATTAATAACCGCAACATCCCTGAAAATCACTTATTCCTAAGCTTAGATGTGGTCAACCTTTTTACATGTGTCCCACATGAATTAATCCTAAACTCAATCGATAAACGTTGGCACACAATTTGTAACTTTACTGATTTTCCGAAAACAGTCTTCACTCATATTATCAACACTATTTTAAATTACTCATATTTCCATTGCCAAGACAACTTTTATTCTCAAATTAAAGGCGCAGCTATGGGATGTCCCTTATCTCCCGGAATTATAGACTTAGTTTTACAGACATTAGAAATTTCCGTTTTCTCAACTTTAAAATTTCAAATTAACTTATATATTAGATATGTAGATGACACTTTTTTTATTATTAACAAAAATCATATAAACACAGTACTAGACCTTTTCAATAACTTTAACAATAATATAACTTTCACACATGAACTACAAAATAAGAACAGACTTAATTTCTTGGATGTATCCGTTTACAATACTAACAACCTTATTCGAACAAATTGGCATAGAAAAACTACATGGTCGGGTAGATACTTACACTTTTCATCATACTGTCCCAGAAACTATAAGATAAACACTATTATTTCCCTTACAGACCATGCTATCTTGTTGTCTCACCAAACTTTCCATCCACAAAATTTATCCCTGGTAAAAACAACTCTAATTGAGAATGGTTACCCAAAAAATCTTATTTTTTCAGTTATTCAAAAAAGACAAACTTTTTTAAAAACACAAATTAATTCTCCAAATACCACTACCAACATCAAAAACGCCAATTTTATTTACTGCAGCATTCCTTACGTTGAAGATTTATATTATTATTTTGCCAAAATCCTGTTAGAAGAAAACATTTTAGTATCAGGCTCATCCTTACACTCCTTCAACCAATTCTTTACGAACATTAAATCCCCTACCCCATCCAATTTCAATACTAATGTAGTATATTCTGTTTCTTGTAATGACTGTGCTTTTCAATATATTGGACAAACCTCGCATATGTACACAAAAGAATGAGATAACATGAACTAAGTGTGGTCCACCACAAACAAAAAAATTTCAAAAGTACCCTAGTACAACACTCTATTGAAAACGCCCATTCTTTTAATTTCACTCCAAAGATTTTATATCATGAAAGTTGCATCTTTAGGAGATTATTCGCGGAGAGTTGTCTTATTCTTATAAATGTTTCAAACAGTGTCAACATTAGATCAGATCACAATCTATTACATGATTCATATTTAAATTTTTTACACTTTTTGACAAACAATTAATATCGACTTCCTTTTAAGATCAACAATTTAAGTATTCACACCCTTACATATAGAAACACACACATACAATCTCACAGCTCTCGTTCAAGTGTTTACACGTGTTACAAATGACACACCAAATTCAATTTAGTTAATTTTCAAAAGCCAATCGCACAACATCTAGAGAACAATATTATTTGTGTTTTCAAATAATAATTTTTGAAAAAAGACAAATCTTTTAGTAATTTTGATTTACAAAATCTAATTATTCGGCGGAAAATTAACTCACAAATTCATTTTTTGTTTAAAAAGCTTGTTTAGTGAAAAAGTGCTAACATATATTCAAACATACAGGTAATTAATTCAACTTTGTCATTAACCTTTTCTTAAAAAAAAATTTTCATAACTTTCAAAAAATTTTCTATTATGTTTAATATCCTGTTCTGATAATCCACTCATTTATTTTTATCATTTTTATTTTGATCATATTATCATATTTCTGTACATTATTATATATTTTTTTGCAATTAATTAATTATTTAAGAAAAATCTATTTTCTTTTCCTAAACATATTGTTTGCTAAAATCTCATCAAGATCATGTTTCTTGACAGATGTCCTGAAGATGGAACGTACCTAGTTCCGAAACGTCGACAGTAAACAAATAATTAAATAAAGAAACTGTTTATTAAAAACTTTTCTTGTTTTTTTATTTTTTATTATTGTTGGATTCTTGTTCGAAACTCTACAAAATATACACAAATCCAAGATTCTACCATTCAATATATATATATATATATATATATATATATATATATATATATATATATATATATATATATATATATATATACATTTGCAAGGAATCTATTTATAAATTAATAAACTTCCACATAGTAAAAAATCAAGGAAAATCAAATTACTGATGCATATTTACACTAAATAACTAATTTGAATTTGATTTTTAGGATAACAATGGATCTATAGAGAATGAAGAACTGCGAGGGTTTCTCAAAGATTTGCTTGAACTTGTAAAAAAGGTAAACCAAATAAATTGCACAACCTTTTAATGAAATAAATCTCAACATCAAAATTGTTAATAATAACGCTTGCCAATTCCACTTTACAAGATTCTTGTCTTTTTAAAGATAAATGTATACTTAACTACTAGTGCATGGCATCGTGCCTCAAAGCAAATTGCTGAAACTTACCGTACCGAAATTTAGATTGTTTTTTTAAATGAAAAATTCCGAAAATTTGAATTTTTTGGAACCTTAATTTTTTTTTGAATTATTTAAACTTTTTTTGAAAATTTTCGAAATTGCACACCATCTAGGCAAGCAGAAGGTTTTTTGAATTTCGTGACCATTTTTACACCATTTGCGCTACATACGTCCGGAACGGCAAGATATGCCTTTTGCAAAAACGTCTCGCGATCGAGTACGAACCGAATGTTTTTTCCATAATACAAATCGGTTATTTCATACTGTCAAAAATGTCGAGGACATTTGTTTGAACCATATAAATAAACTTCAAAATTAAAAATCTTGGCACGGAACCCAAAAATTTATAGAAAATGTGTACACATTTTTAAAATATCTATAAAATATCTAATAATTTTATCTGCATATGTCTAATAAACATTTTTGACCGCCAAATGGCATTTTTTTAACTTTATTTTATTGACAGTTCATTACCGCTGGACCTGCCTTTCCAAAAATTTAAACAGTTCTTCATTTTGTTAATTGTCAATACCAATAAAATGTTCAAATCGAACGTTTCGTTTTCTCATAAACTGAATTATCATTTTTGAACCATTTTGTTCCGTATCTTCGAAACGGTTACATTCACTCACATACACACGTACACACACACACATATACATCCATTTTTTTCTAAGGCATGCCAAAATGTTTAGAAGTAGAGATATATAAAAAAAATGATTTTCGATTTTTTTGCGATTACTATAACTTACCCTACTGGAAGTTAAAAATAAATGAATATATTTATAATAATGTGTAGTACTGCCCTAGCTCAGGTCCGTGAGCTGTAGTATGAGAGGTTTTCCATTGCCATTTCACACCGCAGTATTCGATCTGAGCTTATTTTCAAATGAAAACATATTTTTCATCTATATTTCCAAGTGAAAATGGACATCGCTACTGCACGACATCAGAGCATCTAGAGCGCGGGATAGACTCTGTCCATAACAAAGACATCGCGTTAAACAGCTCGGCGACGGAATTTAATTAATACAACATTTTTTCAAATTATCAATTTAACAATATTATATTTAGGTGTACCGTAACAATAAATAATTATTGCCGCAACAATAAACAACTATTAATTTATTTTTTAATAATTTATTTTATTTTTATCTTAAACTTTTAATGTAGTTGAGTAATGCAAAGGGATATACAATATTCTTGGTCAGATCTGTCGGTGTTTAAATATATGATTTGCTTGAATTTTCAACTCTTGAACAAGCAACATATAGTTGGCCATAACTAAAATATGAATTTTCTACGTTAATACCTACGTAAAAGTTGTATGTCTGCTCTTGTGACTCGTTTATGAGCCAAACGTATAGGAAATTGTAATTTTTTGAAGGTTATAACTGATCCCGAAGGAATTAATGAGAGTCTCGGTAAGAGAACAATATCACCTTCAAATTTTCCACATAATATAATTGCCTCTTTACTGTTTCCCATAATTTTTGTTATTACTAATCTTGTGCCATTGCATAATTTTGGAGCATTCAAATTTTTTTAGTAAAATAATTGGGAAACCAATTTTTAATAATAATTTATGCGGCGGGATTCCTAATAAAAAAAGAGAATTTGAAAATTCAATTATATAATTGACAATTTCATCAGGGTCAATAACAGTCTTGTATTTTTTAATTTATTTCGTCCATTCCTGAATTTGTCGCTGCTGAAATTGCATGTTCTCGTGGCTATTCACGATCTTTATATATATATATATATATATATATATATATATATATATATATGCTTTAGAGTTGAAAAAATATGAGTTTATCTTTGTTATTAACCGTATTACAAAAATTATTAGGGAATCGAATGTACTCTATATTTTCATGACAATTAATTCTGTCATTACCAATATCTAATAATTTTTGTAAAAATTTTGACCTCAGTGCGTTATTTAGACATCTCAACTCGAATATTAATACGGAAGTATAATTTCTCCAATGTGCGCAACAGATAATTTTTTTTAAAAAATAGGTATTTATTTCATTTACATGCGTCGCTCGTAGTATATTGGGTAATGTCTAACTAAAAAAAATATACAGTAGCAATAGGTCAAAATTATTATTCTTGTTATCGTTTAGCAACCTATCAAGAGCATCAAGCGACTGCTTTGGCGTCACTGTTCATTTATGCCAGATGATTATTTTACATTTTCGTAAAACTTTTGGCATTTCTGATATCTTCATTATGTTGCACATTGTTTCTGGTTTAACATGATCATTCAAAGGTAACTTAAATTCCGAATACGCGTTTTGTCCTTTGAGTAATATTACTGTCATTCTGATAAAGAGATTGCCAATGAAATTATAAATGTGTGCCAGTGCTTCCGGGTGCGTCCAAAAAAAGCCTGCTCTGTTGTGCCTCAACTGACGTATTAATTTGATCATATACTTGTTGTTGCTCAGCAGTAAGAAATATCTCATTATTAGCAACAAAAGCAGCTAAAGCAGTATTTGATTGTTTGAAGTTTGATTGTACTACTTGGCTCAATTGAATTAGAAATATGGATACAAATATCTTCAATCATTACTAATGCCTAGATATAAAATTGTTCTAAAAATTCAAGATTATTATCTTGATTATTAATTATATACCATTACAAAATATCCTCACTCATTGGGTTTTTATATTTATTCCACAGTGCGAAGTTTTAGATGGAAAACATGTTGTTAATACTATTGCAGATAATTGTCGAATTTGATGTGAAGATTAAATAAGTGCTACATCTCCAAGAGTTATATTCCGTTGATAGTCATTATCCGATAAATGCAACTCATGGCACGCATCATAAAAAGTTTCATATGAAGTTCGATTAACAGTTCTCAAATCTTTGAATAAGAATAGCAAAAGTCCATACCTTGTGTAACTTCGTCGATAAACCTTTGGAAGGTTTGGCCTGCATTACGAAGTCCGAAGGTCATATAAGAAAATTCGAAAAGTCCGAAAGGAGTTGTAATTGCTGTTTTTGGTATATCCTCCACGTCGACCGGAATTTGGTTGTGAACCTTCACCGAATCGATTTTTGAAAAAACTTTCATACCTTGAAAATGCTGCGTAAAATCGTAAATGTGCTTTACCGGGTATCTGTCTGGAATAGTACGAACTTTGAATGCCCTGTAATCACCGCACAGGCGCTGTTATAGTAATATATAATTCATAATTCTGTTTTAGCTATTTGAAGGCGTTCCGCGTTCATCCGTCTTGGTTTAAAATAAATTGGAGGCCCTGGTGTTGTATTAATATGGTGTGTTGTTAAATGCTTTACTTTGTGAGGTGTTCCTTGAGGTCTGGTGATATCCGGAAATTCTTGCAATAGGCTGTGGTGCTCCTTTCGCAGGGTATTAACAATTGGGACGACTTCATCCGTTACTTTTCCCGTCACTTGTGCTTTTGTATATCCCACTAGAAGTCGTTTGTTGCGCAGATCTACCAACAGGTTATAGAATGACAGGAAATCTGCTCCAATAATGGGTTTTTCGACGTCGGCTATCGCAAACTTCCAAGAAAAATTGCGTCTTAGGCCGAAGTTCAAAATTAGCTGCACTGTCCCATTGTTTGCCATTTTCGCACCATTTGCCGTATACAACGTATATTCGGTACGCGGATGCCGCCCTTTTAGTTTTTTGCGAAGGCATATACAAAGATCCGCGCTTGTATCGACCAATAATTCTTGTTTAGATGCTTTGTCAACCACTAATAGACGCTAATATTCATTGACTGTCGTTTTAGTTTAAAGATTTAATTTTTTTTTTTTTTGATACAATTTATTTTTGTTAATCAAGACTTTAATGTCTCATTTACAAAATTGATATGAGCAAAAAAATATACAAAAAAAACAAAAAATGCAATACATTGAATATAAAATGAAAAAAGTTAAAATAAAAATTAAATTAAAACAGTAATACAAAAATAATAACATAAATGAACGATGACGTGATGATGTATGCCGCGTACTACGTCAGGACGCGTGCAGACATTGGGCTAGGTGTTTGGTAGATCGGAAGGCCATTTCTTGCTCAATCTTCTTATCGGTCTGTGAATCGCTTGAATTGTAGGATTTGTATGCTGGATTAATTTGTTGTTGAAAGATGAACTTCTAATCTTGATCATTTCGATGACTGTTGAGATTTTCAAATCCTTATGTAGGCAAAAATTCAAAATATACCAAGGCGCATTAGTAAGGATACGCAGAATTTTATTCTGGCACCTTTGAATGATGTTTATGTTAGATTTGCATGAGCAACCCCATAGTTCGATTCCATAAGTCCAAATGGGCATTATGATAGTTTTGTACAGAAGTACCTTGTTATCGAGAGAGATTTCAGATTTCCTTCCAAAAAGCCAGTAAAAATCTTTTATTTTCAGTTGGATTTGTTTCTTTTTATATTCAATGTGCGTTCTCCATGTCAATTTCGAATCAATGTGCATGCCTAAATATTTAACAGAATTGCATAGTGGAATTATTGAATTGTTCATGATGATAGGTGGACTGTTGTGATGTTTTAGAGAAACAATTATGTGCTGAGATTTTTCGATATTGATTTTGATATTCCAATCTAAAAACCATTTTTCGAGACTAGATAAATAATTTTGTAATCGACAAGTTGCTGTTCTAATATCGGAATTGCATGAAATAATTGCTATGTCATCGGCGTAAGTGCATATGGTTAGAAGATCATCTGTGGGCATATCGTTTGTGAAAAGAAGAAAAAGTACAGGGCTTAGCACACTGCCCTGTGGTACCCCGCATTCTATATTTCTGATGC